AAAGAATGTGACACCAGGCAAGTTTCGTTCCAAGGAGCAAACACCAAGTGAATACAGAATATGGCAAAAGTGTACATGAATAATTTACTTAGTTAAAAATAGGCAAAGAATTGATTTACAGTCACCAAAGCACAGATACCAGAAAGTAGTTAAGGCTTAAGAGCCTGTAGAGAAGAATATTAAGATGGTGTGATTGTCAGCATATGAGTCAATTGCTGTTTAAATTCTGTCCCTGTTTTCTTTGTGTTCACACTTCATATTTTTTAAATGTATGCAAATTGCTCAACATCATTAGTCATTAGGGAAATGTAAATCAAAACCACAATGAGGTACCACTTCATACCCACTAGGATGGTTATAACTGTAATAATAATTCTTTTAAGAATCCAGAAAATAACAAGTGTTATCTTTCTGCCAAAGAAGTAGACAAATTGGACCCATAGTACATTGCTGGTGGGAATCTAAAATGGTTCAGCTGCTGTGGAAAGTTTGGCAGTTCCCTAATAAGTTAAGCATCATGTTATCATATGACCCAGCTATCATATATACCTATCTAAAAGAACTGAAAAGAGGAATGCAACCAAATACATGTACACACATATTCGTAACAGCACTATCTGCAATAGCCAGAAGGTGGATATGACTCAAATGTCCATCCGTGGATACAAGGATAAACAGATCGTGGTGTATACATATAATGAAATATTATTTGGCTATAAAAAGAATGAAGTACTGGTACAATGTGAATGAACCTTAAAAACATTATGCTAAGAGAAAAAAGCTAGAAGCAAACAAGTCACATATGAATGATTTCATTTATATGAAATATCCAGAATAGATAAACTCATAGAGACAGAATGCACATTGGTGGCTATCATGGACTGATGGAGAGGAGTCAAAGAATGTGGAGTTAATACTTAACAGGTACAGAATTTCCTTTTGGGGTGATGAAATGTTTTGGACTAGATAGAGATGGTGACTGCACAAAATTCTCAATGTACTAAATGCCCCAGAATCATTCACTTTTAAAAGGTTAATTTTAGGGGCGCCTGGGTGGTTCAGTCAGTTAAGCATCCGACTTCAGCTCAGGTCATGATCTCACAGTTTGTGAGTTCAAGCCTTGCATCGGCCTCTGTGCTGATAGCTGAGAGCCTGGAGCCTGCTTCAGAATCTGTGCCTCCCTCTATCTCTCTGCCTCTCCCCCGCTCGTGCTCTGTCTCTGTCTCTCAAAAATAAACGTTAAAAAAAAATTTAAGAGGTTAATTTATGTGTGAATTTCACCTCAATGAAAAAAAAGTTTAAGAAAATTGGGATATCTATCAGGAGAGCAAAACGGGAAAAAAAAAAAAAAGATATACAGTACCAAGTGTTGACAGGGATATGGAACAACAGGAACTCTCATAAACTGGCATTGGATGTGTAAATTGGTTAAAATCAGCCCTATCTGCTAGGGCTGAACGTCTAAAACTGCGTGCAATGATATGCATGAATCTCATGAACATGATGTGGGGTGAAAGGGGCCAGACACAAAAGGGTACGTGCTGTATGATTTCATTTATATAAAGTACAAAAGACAGTTATAGCTAATCTACATTGATGGAGTCTGGATAGTGGTTGCTGTTGAGGAGGTAGTGGCTTGAAGGAAGTAAGTGCCTCCTGGGTCCTGATGATGTTCTAGTCCTTGATCTCTAGTTAGTTTCATTGGTATGCTCAGTTTATGAAGTTTATGAACTATACATTTGTGATATGTAGCCTTTCCTGTTTATACCATTCCTCAATAAATATTTAAAAAGTATGCAAATTCAGTGTTAGCATTTTAGGAAATTTTCAGGTCATTTGGATACTTTAGAATTCTTTAATATTTAGTGGTATTGATGGTGAAGCTAAAAGAGAGAGAGAGAGAGAGAGAGAGAGAGAGAGAGAGTGTTTGTGTGGTAAATGTAAATATTTAAGTTGGTTCACTATATTTGTGAAAGTTGACTCAACTTTATCTGAAAAGCGAGAATGATAGATGTGATTTATGTCCTGCCTGTTGGGAACTGGATCATAGGCCCCCCTTTCCATTTTATGTTTTTGATGTGTTTTTTTTTTTTTTTTTAATTTATTTACTTAAATTTATTTCTACTTCATAGAAAACCTGTCTTAAAGAGCTGGGAGAGAAAAACAAAAAGTGTATTTTAAATTCATTCCAAAAAATTGTATTTAAGTAGAGTCTCTACATATATTTTTATAAAATCACAGGTGTTTGCCTATTAAGAGGAATAATATATAAGTGTGTATTTATATAAATGCACATGTGTAAATACAGCCATGTGTTACATGTGTATGAAATATTAATGATAGGGGATATATGCATCCATAAACAGAGAAATGATTTTTAGAAAATAAGCTAATGAAAGGTATTTTGATCTAGTGGCAGATTTTGTTCACATTTTCCCCATTCCATATTAAATTTTTCATATGTAAATTTCAAGTTAATTCATTTGTATACAACCATTCAACAATTGGTCAAAAAAGAATAACATGAAATTATGTAACATTTAGAAAATTGGATAGTCTTAAATAAACTAAATATCTATAGATTAAATTCCACTGCCATCAATTAATAAATTAAGACATTTTATTATTGCTATTATTGGTTATAATAATATGCTACCTTTCTACCAGGATTTGCACTTGACAATCTTTTACATATATATAATGCTCTAATTAATTTTATTTCTTCTAAGAAATATTTGCTCCTTGGGATAGAATAAAACACTGCCTTTCTTTGGATCATTAGCCCAGCCCAGGGCTCTTTCACTTAAAGAATAAATGTAAATTTAAACAAATGAAACAATTAGATGAAAAATCTTACTCTCACACACTGATGCTGAACTGGACATTGGCAGGAATAAAAAACCAGTTCCATAGATAATAATGAACACCAGTGGACAGTGAAGTCACTCTCTAGATGAGTTTTAAACTCCTTTCCTTTATAAAAACAGTGCTTCTTAATATGCCGGAGTACTCAGCAGAGAGGGTCTGTGTATGCTTTAATGGTATAACTTCAGATAAATACACATGCACACAGAGACATAGCACTGTGATTTGACTAATAAATTGTAATATTTGTTTATTTTATAATGGAATTTAAAGTCAGGAGTAACTTTCAAGGCCATTTAGTTCAATCCCCTTATTTTATACATAACCTTTGTTACTGTGGTGTTTTTACTATTGAAGTTAAGTTTAAACATGTTCAAACCTGTGCAAAACAGATTGGAAGAAATATCACCACACAGTCATTACAATCGCCTATTCATCAGCAAGGCATATTCACTCACAGGAATGAATTATTTATTCATCAACCAGCGATAACCCTATTGACACAGATTTTAAATAAAAAGTAATACATATATTTATAAATAACAGCTCCTAAATAATAACCAACAGCTCATAATATACATTTCAGGGCCCACTTCACACAAGAACAGCATATTCATTGCTCGGGGAAAGGGTTCAATTTATTGAATGATGCATTTATAATTTGGTGCTATAGGTTTTTGAAGCTAGTAATTACATTAGAAACATGAGTCTAGGTTATGTGTTATGATAACATTTGCAAAACTGTGTGCTTACTGAGTACTCTAGAATGATTTTTTTTTCTACTCACATTTATTGTCCAGCATATATATTTTTTTCTGAAATAAAAATGGTATAACAAAGAATCAGATTTTAGAGGTATACAATGATTAGGGTAATAAATTTTATAATAAATTTTATAATCTTTAGCAGTGTTTTCTTATATATGATTCACAATGAAGTTGCTGCTTATAAAAATAATATGTGCTCAGTGGAAAACATATTTGGAATATTGAAAAGCAGGACTAACAAATACAAATATGTTTTCAGTGGAAAACATATTTGGAAATATTGAAAAGCAGGACTAACAAATACAAAACTTACTAACCGGAAAACAATAACATATCATGTTGGTGATTTCCCCCCCCCACACCAAATACGCCTCCCCTGCCTTTCTACAACATGCATAAATATACCTGCGTGTTTTTATTGTGCATTCAGGCTCTACCATTCTCATGCTCTGTGACCTTTAGCAAGTTACCTCAATTCTCTGTGCCTTTGTTCCTTCATCTTTAAAATATGGATAGTGGTAGTAACCATGGTACAGAATTATAAAAATTAAGTGATGTAATAAATTCAAAGTTTTATAAGAGTGCCTGGCATAATATGTATTAACTATTATTATAGCTATGATCATATGTTTTAAAAATATTTTAAAATCATCAAAAATTTCTCATTTTTATTTGAAAGCCACCCCAGTCATTGGTAGCATATTGTATTATTTTCAGTAAGCCATAATATTATCTTTTTTCCCCCCTCCATGATAATGGTGGCAAGTGGGACATCTGCAAAATATGTTCCATGAAAAATGGATCTTCACACAGACTTATGTTGTCATTTTAGTTTGATTTTTGAGAAATGAGTTTGGCACATCTGCCAAATCCTTTCATAAGATGCTACATTCCTGTTTTTATTTTAGTTTATTTCATTTATGGAAAGTTCTTTTCTTCCCCACTCCTCCCACAGGCACCCCCTCTTAGCCCCCATTCCTCCCTGTCCCAAACTATAATGTTGATGTACATTTAAAACTTTAAAATAAAAAAAAAAATGGATCAGAAACTGGAAGGAATCTGTCACTTTTTAAAAGTCATTCTCCTTTTGATATATTTAGATTACCAAAAAACAAAAACATAAAACAAAACCAAAAAACCAAACCTGTCTTTTACACTGTGAAAATGTACTGTCTGATAATAAGTGACCTTTCTTTCAGGGTGGGAAGGAGAAGACTGGTTTGGGGAGGGGAAAGAATGGAGGAAAACAGACGAAGAATCAGTTTGCAAACATGTGTTAATATTTAGATTTTTTTAAGTGAAAAGTTAAGTAGTTAATGCTTTTTTACAAACTGTCTTTGATACCGTGTTTTGTTTATTCCATCCCAGAAGAAGTTAGCGGTATACAGCAAGATGCAGGACTCTCTGGAAGTCACCCTTCCCAGCAAACAAGAGGAGGAGGAGGATGAGGAGGAGGAGGAGGAGGAGGAGGAGAAAGACCAGCCTGCCGAGATGGAGTACCTTAACTCTCGCTGTGTCCTTTTCACTTATTTCCAGGGAGACATTGGGTCAGTAGTGGATGAACACTTCTCAAGAGCTTTGGGCCAAGCCAGCACCCTCCATCCAGAATCTGCCATTTCAAAAAGCAAGATGGGGCTAACCCCACTATGGCGAGGTAAGAATTCAAAAGCAGATGCTCTCCAGGGCACTGTCTCTGTTTTGCAACTGCCTGTACCAGGTTCCAGCTGGAGACTTGCCCCTGGAGGACGGATATCCACTTGCTTTTTAATTTTTAAGGACAGCAAGGAATTTCTTTCAGACAAACAGCTGGATCAGTTTTGTCACATGTGGAATGCAGGGTCGGAAAGGATGCAGTCACACCCCTTAAATTCCTCATGGAAAGTAGTGATGCAACCAGCCTGAGTTTATAGTGGCAGGACGGAGCTGTGAAGCACCATTCCTTAAGCCCCAGTGGCCCAATTTGGATCTCTAAATAATAGGCGTGCCTAGATCAGCTTTTAGAAATTAGCTCTTGCTCATTCCACTAGGTGCTACGTGGTGACATAGCAGAAATCTGAGTCTGACCCAGGAGTACAAACTTTAAAAGCCTTCAGTGTTTTCTTGATAGTTTTCTCTGTCCTGCTTTGTTGTGGTATGAACTCTTTCAGTTTACAGCCCAGACATTATTGACTGTGTCTGCATGGTTTAGGCTGTTGTTCTTGCCTTGGTCAAGGTAAAGCAGTACATGGGGCATCCTCTTCTCTATTTCCTTCTCTGTAGAGGTCACAAAGGTGTGTTTGAACTGATTACTGGCTCACAGAAGATCATTGGATGGCATCTAATTGGGCAATGACAAGATTAGGGGAAAATTACGCATCATTTAATGCTAGTTGTAGAGAAATGCGTTATGGATGTTTCTTTTGAACTCACCTGGTTATAAGAAGCCTCTAGTAAAATCATTCTCAAAGTGTGGTTTCCTGTACCAGGAACATGAGCATCACATGGGAGCTTGTTAGAAATGCAGGATTTTCAGGCCGCACCCGAGAATCTCAGACCTACTGAATCAGAACAAACTGTGTTTTAGCCAGCCCTCCTGGTGATTCTAATACAGGCTCAAGTTTGAAAATCCTTAATCTAGTGCTGTTAAAAACAAAGATTGCAGGCCCCTAACTCAGACCTATTAAATCAGAGTCTTCAGAGGGAGACTCTGGGAATCACATCTTAACAAGTGCCCCAAGTGATCCTATGGTGAGGGAAGGCTGGCCACCTGTGGTAGAGGGCAGGGAAGAGGGCAGGTGCTACATGGTCATTTCCTGTCAGCATCAGAGGAATGGTTCTGCTCCACTGTAGGGGAGGTTGTGCTGGATGAAATTGCCAGGCCTGACCTATTTGCCGGCTTGCCTTCCTTCCTTCCTCCTTTCTCCCTTTTAGTACATATGAAGAACACTAAGATCGTAGTGACTGTAGAGAGGAAGGTGGAATGCACATTCAATAAATGGTAGACCTCGATAGAAATGATTCGGGAAGCATAATTGCTTTATTTGATTAGTAAATGTTACAGATTTCCCACAAAATTGAGAACTGAGTCCTTCTTGGAGGCCTAAGATGTTTGTGGAATCAACCAATATCCTGTTTGGTAGCATGTGGTAAATACTTTTAATATGTGTGGAAGGTAAAAACAGGAAAACTTCAGTAAATTGGCTGACTTTCATAAATAGTCTGTATCTCAATAATAAATCATGTCAGGATAATCTGTCATTGGAGAGTATTAAATACAATGCCTACTTTTTTTTCTTTTCTTTTCTTTTTTTTTTTAAACGTAGTGGTATACACAGCCTAGGAATCATTTAATCTGGAATATAGAAACAAGAGTCCCAAATTATAGTTAGATGTGAGTGATTAGTAAGTATTAAAACCAGGATAGTTTTAAGTGAGGTATAGTATATATGCAAAAACTCTATAATAATCCAGTGTTTTCCCTTTATCCATGTGACTAAATAGAAATCTTTGGACTGATTTCAAATTTCCATATAGAAAGGATAGAGAATGGTAATGTTTCAGCAACTACTATTACAATTTTCTTGGGATTATTTTATATTTGGTCTTCAAACCTACCTCCTGTTTCATTCCTTGACATACACAGCAAATGTTAAAGGTACTGCTATGTAGTGGAAATATATCAGTGAACAGGAGAGCCTAAGCCTCTGTGTTCATGGAGCTTTTTAGTGAAAGAGAAAGGTACGAAGTATAGAATGAAATGCTAGGTGTGGATTTACTTAGGGTGACAATAGATGCTGTCTCTGAGACCATTACATGTGATAAGAGTGGTCTTCATCATGTGAATATCTATGGGGAAGTTATTTGAAGCAGCGGGAACAGCCGGTACAAAAGCCCTATGGAAGGACTGAGCTTAGAGTGTCCGATGAGAAGCAATAGTGCTGCCATGAGTGGAATGAGAAGCAGAGTGACAGGCAGAGACTAGAATTTTTAGGGCTTTGTGTGTCAGTTTAGTGTATCAGGGTAGTGCAGGCAAATGCAGCCGATACTTTAATTTCCATCTCTTCCTCTCCCACTAAGACTAGGTATATCGTATCTAGTTTTCTCACCTCATTTTCCCTCAACATAATGCATTTCTACCTGGAAAATAAAGAATAAATATAAATTGAATGATTATGACTGAATTAGATGAATCAAGTTCATACCATTTATCCCAGATTAGAAAATAAAAAAGTTGTCAATGTAGAATTTATTAGCATTGAGTATGACATTTTTGGTTATAGTTTCCTTGTGTGTAAAATAAGGGGGATGAATGAAATGATTGCTAAAATCTTGTCTCTGCAAGCTTCTGTGATTTCAAGTGTATTTTTTTACTTTCCATTTGTGGTACAACTTTTCCATAGTTGTTTAGTTGTGAATTAGTCGATTTTTAATAAACGGAAATAACTTGGATGTGATTTAAAGGAGATCCACAAAAATATAAATAAAGATTTAGAAAATAATATTGTTAAGAGAGGTGTAATAAATTGAGATTCCCATGTTTAGTGAAGAGAGTTACCAGTAATTTTGTGTTAATTGCCAAAGTAACACAGGTTTGGATAATGCGGTCATTGGATTCTCCTTGTTTTGGGGTTCTAGTGTGGGCCTTACAATGTCTGATGGCAACATGATCTTGGATTAATTAGTTAACATTGCTCTGAACTCAATTTAAATTACAGTATGTGTTTATTGATATATGTTTCCTTGGGTTATTGTAAGGATTCTATGATAATGCATATGAATGATTTGTGACACACGGCTTTATGCAAGGTGCTAAACAATGATGCCTTTTCTCTCTTCCTTAAGTAAGTTTCCACTCATTTGGCATATAGAAAACCAACCTTGGGTTTTTACCCAGAAATATTCTTTGAATTTCTGGCAAAAACACAGTGTCTTGGACAAAGTAGCTACTCAACACTATTGACAATGTTGATGGCCATAGCAGTGATAGTTTATGCAGGAGCACTAGCCAGCTGTACTAAATTAACGGGTCTAATTTATGGCATGAAGTTTTTACAGTGCTACACAAGTGGTATAGTGCTACGAAGGAATTTAAAACTGAGTTATGTTTGGTTGCAGAATATATTTCCACAGTAAATCTTTAGACAAGGATAGAGTGTCAGCTAATAATGGAATAATGGTCATACTTTGAGTGTGTGTCCTGATGGAGTTAGGAAAGTCCTCTTTAGGTGTTTTGCAGCTTTTAGGCAAACAATTGATAGGAAATATTTGTACTCTATTTGACACAACATCACATCGATGACCTCTTATCCCAGTATACATTCTTACTAATAGGGCTTCTCAGTTGAGAAAACCTAATGAATCTAATGGCCCTGTTATCCCCATCTAAATAGAAACACTGGCTTCAAATATGTCTGTGTATTGATCTCAGTGCCCAAGTGTTATTACAGAAAGTGTGTGTGTGTGTGTGTGTGTGTGTGTGTGTGTGTGTGTGTGTGTG